TATATGATTTTAGTATGATTTGATTAGAACTAACCCGGACTGACGCCGTTTTCAGCAGAACTACCGTGGTGTTGTTTTTGTGCACAAATAAAAGTTCTCTGGGCGCGCCCATGTGCCTCGTGGACTTTCCGTGGGGCCCCCTGACTTGTTCTCGACGCCAACCTCTCCTATAAATGCCCAAACCTCCAGAAAATAACCTAGATCGAAAGTTCCATCCAGGGGGAGGCCATGGAGGAGGAAGCACAAGGGAGGGGACCTCTCCTCCTCTCTCTCTCTCGGTGGCGCCGGAGTGCCATCAGGAGGGGAATCATCCCGCGACGATCGTCTTCATCAACATCACCATCATCATCACCATTCTCATCTCTTTTACGTGGTCCACTCTCCCACACCCCGCTGTAATACCTACTTGAACATGGTGCTTTATGCCACATATTATGATCCAATGATGTGTTGCCATCCTATGATGTTTTGAATAGATATCCTTTGTCTTTGGGTTGATTGATGATCTAGATTGGTATGAGTTGTATGTTTTATTTTGGTGTTGTCCTATTGTGCTCTCTGTGTCGCGCAAGCGTGAGGGATTCCCGCTGTAGGGTGTTGCAATACGTTCATGATTCGCTTATAGTGGGTTGCTTGAGTGACAGAAGCATAATCCCGAGTAAGGGGGTTGTTGCGTATGGGATAAAGGGGACTTGATGCTTTAATGTTATGGTTGGGTTTTACCTTAATGATCTTTAGTAGTTGTGGATGCTTGCTAGAGTTCCAATCATAAGTGCTTATGATCCAAGAAGAGAAAGTATGTTAGCTTATGCCTCTCCCTCATATGAAATTGCAATAGTGATTACCGGTCTTGTTAACAATTGCCTAGGATAATTCCGCACATCGACCCGTCATTATTCCACACTCGCTATTTATAATATTTAGTAATATATTCTAACTTTATGATAACAACAACTACTTATATATTTTAGCTCTCCGATATCATGCAAAGTTGTCCTCTTTATACCCACAACGTAGTTTTATTTCTCGTTTCTAGTTGGAAGCAAACATTCGGTGTACGTAGAGTCGTATCAGTGGCAGATAGGACTTGAGAGAATATTGATCTTGACTTTACCTCCTTGTGGGTTTGACACTCCATACTTATCACTTCCACCTTTGCGAATTGCTACGATGATTCCCTGCACTTGGGGATTCTCAAGCTCTTTTCTAGTGCCGTTGTCGGGGAGCAATAGCGTGGGGTTGATATTCTCGTGTGTGCTTGTTTGCTTTCTTCACTAAGTAGATTTTGTTTTCCCTTTTTGTTTCTGTTTAGTTGTGGGTGAAAATACAAAAAAAATTCAAAATAATGAATATACAAAAAAAATTACTTGCCTCATATGCCTAAAAAGTTTTTCAAAAAGAGAAGTGATTGGAAAGTTACGCATTGGAGAAGTGAGGGTCGACCTTGAACACTTGTGTTCATGCTCATGGAAACAATGTAAATTTTTCATGGAAGTTTCTCTGTAAATAATTATCCCCTTGTATATATCAATTGTATTATAAAAATAATGTGCCAAGCTTTGGTTTTAGGATGATTAGATTGCTTGTTTACTATGTGCAGTACAAAAACAAAAACTTTGGCTGTAGCGCGTGAATTTACATTTTTTTACTGGAAAGTCAAATGGGTCACTTTTTGCACATTACTTCTGTACAATTTGTTTAATTTGTCATATTTTTTTTAGAATTTTTGGAGTTACAGAAGTATACTAAATTTCCAGATTAGTGCAGGCTGTCCTATTTTTGACAGGTTCTGTTTTTGGCGTGTTGTTTGCTTATTTTGATGAATCTATGAGTAGTATCGGGGAGTATGAACCATGGTGAAGTTGGAATACAGTAGATATAATGCTAATATGAAATTGGAATGAGTTTGCAACAGTACCTAAAGGTAGTGATTATCTTTATTATATTAATGGATCTCACAAAGTTTTTGTTATTTTTTTGTGTGGATGAAGTGTTCGAAGAACGAGGAGTTACCGATGTGAGAAGAATAAAGAGAGGCAAGAGTTCAAGCTTTGGGATGCCCAAGGCATCCCGAGTAAATATTTTCAAGGATACTCAAGCATCTAAGCTTGGGGAGGCCCCGGTTGGCATCCCATCTTTCTTCTTCGACAATTATCGGTATACCTTAGTTTTTGTTTTGTTCACATGATTTGTGTTCTTTGTGTTTTTCTTTTTATTTAAGAACCATGCTAGTATGATCTTATACTCAGTGATGCCGTTGGAGTTGATGGACTCGCTTATCTTCCAAGCCTTCCGCTGTTATCGTTATTAGATGACCTTAAGCCATATTTATTGTAATAAGTTCTCTTTTGTGACATTTGATGTAATAAGTGTGTGATTGCTACTCTGTTATAAATCCTTCAAGTACTGTGCGTGTCAGCATTAACGATCCAGGGATGGCACTGATGCACAGAGATCAGACTGTTTGAGGTCTGGTCGCTACACCCCAACCGACTGGGGTGCATGGGGCATACGTGTGCGCGATAGCAAGCAACAACTGGGCATGTTCATCCACAGCCAACCAACTGGCTAGGTCAACTACTAACGTCACGCGCAAGGGGCTCAATCGATGCAACCGGCTACAGGTCTCGACCCGATCTATGTATCACGCGCACAACAGCAACAGGGACAGTTCATCAAGAGGCAACCAACCGGCCGCTAGCTAGGTCAACTCACATCTCACACGGGGATCAGGGTAACAAACTACGTACGCCCATGAGTTTCGCATCGATCACTCGGGTTTAGTACGCAGCGAAGGGATTGCTCGGGTTCCGTAAGCAACGAGCTCGATCGCTCCAGTTCAGTATGTAGCTAGTGTGAGTGGTCACGCGGGTTCAGTACGTAGTGCGAGGGATCGCTCGATTTTAGTACGTAGTGCGAGGGACCGAACGCTCGGGTTTTGTAAGCGATGATCGATCGCGCGGGTTTAGTAAGGCGAGGGATCGATCGATCGGGTTCAGTAAGCGAAGGGATCGCTCGGGTTCAGTTAGCGCAGGGCTCGCATACGCGCGCGCGTATGAGAGAAACGCACAAACCACACTGCGTCGCTCGGGCCTGACCACCCACCGATTGTCTACCGCGTATACCAGAAAATCCCTGAAAATTCTTGCCCTCACTTCTACCACGACTTTTTACGTAATGATTGGCCCAAAGAATGTCATGGAGGTGCGCCTCCGACCCACCCAGGAAGAAAAGCCCGTTTTCTATCATAATTTTTTATCATAAAAGTAGGAGCCCACCACATCTACGATTATACATGTTTTCTCACAATTATCGTCATGGAAGTGTCACTTCCGTAATAGAAAATGTTTCCGTTCAGATCATAATGTCACAGATGTGTCTTTTTTTTATAATGCCCCCTTCACATAACTAGTCCTTGAATTCATATGTCCTTCGTTGGAGAATTGTCCCTTCCATGATGTTGCCCTAAACACGTGAGTCAAATTATATCAGTTGGAGGAGGTAAACCATTGCATACAAAATATGTAATAACATCATATACTCCCCCATCCCAAAATATGTGTCTCGACTTTAGTACAAAGTTGTAGTAAAGTTGAGACACCTATTTTCTTTGGTCTTGTGGGAGCAGTTATGAAAATTGGATATCTTTTAAAATTTCTACTCGTGGTTATTATTTTATTTGGTCTTGCTCTTCTAGTGAATAATTGGTGAATTATGTACTCCAATGTATCAGAAATGTCATTGATGAAATAAAAGAATGTGTTTTGGTGGCCAAAAAATGTATACAACCGGCCTGCGGAGCAGATGCGTCCCCGCATTAGGTGCACGGCCGGCGCATTCAGAAAAACGGCCGGACGCCATCCCATTGCCATCATCAAATGGATAAAATCCGGACAAAACGAACTTCTGTTTGGAGTAGTGCGTTGGAGTCGGCCTTACGTGAAACATTTGACAATCTCAAATCACAAGGTTCGGTATAAAGGTACACGACATTCTCATGGTCCAAGGGCATGAGTATACATTAACACTTGCATGGTTATACTTATAACTTTGTGACCAAGTGATTCGCTGCCCAATAATAATAGAGATGTTTGACATTATGATAATAGTGCTAATGTATTTGAATGGAATAATCGAATAGTTTTCTTTTAAACAATGCAGACGGTCATACGTACATATATACAATCATCCCTATGAACGCACGAACACACACCCCTATCCATATGAGCACCTACAAGAGAATGTGCTGGCACATCATCTTCAGATTGAGAAAGTCGCCACATACGCCTTCGTAGTCAACAGAAACATCTTCTTCCACTAAATGCACATCGCAAAAAGACCAGGAATTAATCCAGGAAAATGCGAGCATCGGTATCAATTCTAGAACTTGAACTCTGGTGCGCCGGAGATACCACTCTCCTCCTAACCCTCCAATCTTAGGTTGGTTCACTCGAATAGGGATAGTTAGTATGCAAACCCAACATTTCAAATTTCCAATAGTATAATCTTGGGGTCGTTTATCCTTTGCACAACATTTTGATTTTCCTGTAGTTAAAAACCAACACAAATTCACAATGAACAGTTGTTAATCCGTTGGAGTAGAGCAGTGCCGTTTGAGTGCATCGGTGCTTCACATGCACGCGAACGCTACGGGCACTCGGCCGCCGCGCCGTTCAAAGGCTGCCGGCTCTGCGCTGCAGTCCTGCCTCATCTTCATCTGTTCCCCGTTCAAAGGCTGCCTCCTCTGCGCGCATTTCCCCTTCCATCCCATAGCAAAAAGTTTTCCGCGAAAGACGGTTGGCCCAACGCCTCGTCCTCCGCTTTGCCCATCCTCCATTACCGTCGCGGTCTCCGCCACGCGACAGCATTCAAACTCGTGGTACGAACAACCCAATCCCATCCACCCTCCCCCTACCCCAACTCCTAAAACCCTAGCCTGCCACCACCCCGTCCCCTACCCACTACCACTTCCCCGCCACCGCTCCAAGCCGAGCGCCGAGATGGCTTCCGCCTCGCCGTCGTGGGTCATCCTGGGCAGCGTGCCGCGGGTGTCGGCCGCCGACGCCGACCTCCCCCAGGGCGCTGACCTCTCCCTCGCGCTGCCTGCGCCGCCGCGCGTCGCGGTCCTCACCATCCCCCCGCGCATCTTCCCGGGCCGCACCACCTCCAGAAGCTTCCCGTCCGTCCTCGCCGCCGACGCCTCCGGCCTCCTCCTCCTCCACGCCGACCAAGGCCCCGCCAAGGGCCCCACCGTCATCGACCTCCCCAGCCGCCGAGAGTTCTTATGGCTCCCGACCGTCGCGGGCTACTTCCTCCTCGACGCCAAGTCCGCCTCCGCACTCCCGCTCCCCAACCCCGAGTACGTCATGCACCCGGGCCACCTCGGCCTCATCGCCTCCCCCGCCGACGCCGGCCACTACATGGTCGCTGAGCTCCAGATGATCCTCGGCGGCGACCGTGCCGACCTCCTCTGCTTCTCCTCCGAAGCCGGGGAATGGGTCACCAAGGACGTCCGCTATCCGCTTCCATCCCGCCCCTTGAGCCCCAACGGCGTGGTCTCGCACTCCGGGATGCTCTGGTGGGTCGACCTCTCCTGGTGCCTCCTCACCTGCGACCCCTTCGCCGACGCGCCGGTGCTGAGGGTCGTCCCGCTTCCGGAGGGCAAGGCGCTCAAGTCCAAGGAAGCTTGGGGACTGCTCGACAAGTACCGCTGCGTGGCTGTCAGCGGCGGCAAGCTGCGGTTCGTGGACATGTACAGGAACCTTAACAGCGCCGGCTCTGTTCAGATCAGCGTGTGGACGCTCGTCGATCCGGACTCCACGGAGTGGACGCTGGAGTACGAGGCCACCTTTAAGGAGATCTGGGACGACGCGAGCTACAAGGCGACTGGCCTGCCAAGGAAGATCCCCGTGCTTGCGCTCGTCCATCCTACGAACCCCGACGTGGTCTACTTCTTTCTGGACGAGCACCTGTTCGGCGTGGACGTGCGTGCTCGCAAGGTTGTGGAGCGTGAGATCTACGAGCTGGTTCAGCCAGCTAGGGAACACGTCACCACCCGTTCCGTTCACGCTTGGCAGCTGCCACAAGCTCTCTGCTCAGGTAATTCTACCGTCTACTGTTCTTTGATTGTACGTACATTCTTGTTAGTGACTGGAAATATTGTGTTTCTGTGTAACATTGTGAGAGATCAGAGGTGTATGATGTGTTGTCTGATTTTCTAATTAACATCTCAGTTTTTTGTCGGAGAGAACATATGCAAACGTCGAACTTCCAGGATATGTTAGTTTACCTTGTTTTTGTTGATGCTACAGGGAGGGCTTATGCTTGATAAGTCATAAGTGTAATGGGCTTCTCAGATTGGGGATTTTTAGAGTAAAGCACTTCGAATTTCAATATGTAAATGGTCTTGTGTGGATGGGTTGTATGATTCACCAGAGTCACCACTTGCTGAACGATGGCTAATGCTAATTAAAAATGCCAATTTTGCCTTAGCATATGTCCAACATTAGGCACTGGACATATAGGTCTATATGCATGCTCCGGGCTTCCATTTAAAGTAATACAGTACTTGCTCTGTTCACAAATACGTATACGATGTTTTAACTTTTTTCTGAATTGGATGTATATAGACATGTTTTTAGTGTGTTCACTCATTTCAGTCCATATGCAGCCCATATTGAAATATTCAAAACATCTTATATTTGTGAACGGATGGAGTAAGATCGTTAACTGCTACACATACTCTCTTTTTTTTGTCATGTGCCTGCTAAGAGGTGCAAGTGATGTTTACACAGCTTTACTACATGTCACTGTACATTGTAATCAACACTATAGCCCCATATAAACTACAGTATGTCATGGACAGAATTGTTGAGTCTTATACTCCAGCTAGTACTGCTAGAATCAACGGCTGCTATTGCCCAAGGATTCCCAATTTATAATGTTTTTTTCCTTCCTGATAACATGCCTCTTATAGGAGTACATGTAATTTTTTTGCTAAAATTAATAGCCCGGTGTTAGATGGTTTAGACACATCCATTGAACTCTAACTTAGATACCAGTACAGCTGTACTGATTTGAAATTGCGAATAATTTTATTCCGCCAAGTACTATGCAAAGGCAAAGACTACGTCAGGTATTCCATCCATGGGTTTATTATGTTCCTAGAGAGTTGGGTAAGATTCAGCTTCAAGACTGAAGATAGTTTTAACGTTTCAAAAGAAACTGTGTTACTATGAGCACTCTATACATGCACAGTTTTGAAAATTGCCATGGTGTCATACAAATGTGTGTTTGACTTTTTGAAACACAGCATCGTTCTCTTGTATGTAGTACTAGGTATTATAAGTAACCCCCTGCTGTTTTTGTTTTTGTTTTCTAGACTTGCAATGGGCTGAGAAAGTATGCATATATAGTGAATAGGCTGTTAGACATAGTACTACATTTCTTTGGGGGGAGAAAGTACTACATTATGTTCTTAAGGACTCTGCCCCGCTTCACCGTATATGCAAAATACTAACTGAATTTTGTCAAGGGAACTACTGTTTCTATTTGAAATCTTCACTTGATTAAGCGTGTGGCTTCTTGAAATCCGTTATCTTTCCCTCTTTGTTTGTAGTACTACACTGCAAGGCATTAGAATCTTTTTGTTTTGTAATATTATGAGAATGCTTGGACGTGCCAGCTCCTTAACCATTTATTTGGTCCAGTTGCCATTGCTGTAACAAAAGGTATATAGTGATGAATGAGCATAATGAGGCAGCTATTAAACATAAGAACTACCTAATTGCTGTATTTGCCCAATGTCAGAAATCCATGGAAGCATTAGATGATCAAATGAGCTGAAGCCTGTATGCCTTGTCTAACATAATATGCTCTCTCCTTTGAAGGTTCTGCAAAGGAGACTGAAGATGGCGTGAAGGAAGAGCTGCAGCAACTCCAGCTGTGAGACGAGATTGAGGAACGAGAACCAGAGTAAACTTCTTAACTGGTTACGCTCATTGAGTTGTACATTCCATCGACCGAATTTAGTGCCCTTAGCACACTACTCATGCAGCCTGGCGTACTAAAACTTCCTTGGTGATTTTCTGTTCCTTGGTCGCAGGTAGGGGAGTAATATATCAAGTTATCAGGTGGCAATGGCGTCTTTTGGACAGCACTCGACTCAACGAAATTGGCAACATGGCTGAAACATTTTGCTTGTCTTTCTTGTTATTATTGTTTAAGTTCAGATGTTAGTAGTGCGTTTTTTATGCTTGGATACTTGATCCACCGTCATGGCTCAGAACCGAAGTGAGCTCTTGTTATGCTTCTGGCTCTTGGTAACTTTGTCAATCCATTCTCCTGCTTGGTTCGAAAAAATACTTGAAAATGTCTTAATCTGTTTTCCATTTTTGGACTAAGGTAACATGTTCTTTTTTATATTTTCTGCAAAATCACCATTTTTTTTTATTTTTTTTGCTTTTGCACATCGGTTTTACCTAGTATTCGTACTCAGGAATAATGTTTAGATAGATAGCTTTTTTCCCCGATGGGCTGGTTGATCATCGAAGGTGATATTGACTCCTTACAAATATGTAAGCAGCTCGTTCATTTGTACTAAGCCAACATGTTGGGTGTGTAATATTGGAAAATAAAAATTTAGATTGCAAATAGATCACTCATTTGTACTTGAATTGGATTAGTACACTGAAATCAAGTCGGGATCACCAAAATAGAACATTGTTTGCCTTGCAAAGTCTGTGACAATACCGAGTTGCTAAGTTGCTTTTACCTGATACAACCTCATTGCAGAACTGAAGTTCATATCATGTTTATATATGTGCATCTATGACAGTATAAGAACTTTTAAAAGGATTCCTGAAATGTTTTGTTTTTCTCACAGACCAATTTTCCTGGTTAGTCCATTTTCGTGTTGATCCTTGGAACTTTTATGCCTTTGCCTTTTAGACATTTTTGTTTGCGATGTGGACATTTTTTTTTTGCGGGTGTGGACAATATTTTCTTGCACATACATGGTGCACATTCGAATCAACGGAACACGGTCCTCTATGCTATTTTTGAATTAAAACGAAATTTTATTCATTATCAATAACCAATACATCGTTTGTGAGAAACGTTACAATTTCAGTAATAGGCTCCTCAAACCAATCCGAAGTCGGAAAAAACCTAGCTAATCTAGCAAGTTCATGTGCTACTTTATTTGCTTCTCTATTACAATGTTCGAATTTAGCCATGATAAAATCACAAGCATAGTGATAGCAGTCATCGAAGATTGCGGCCGCCGCTCCCGTTGATTGTCCTCCGTCCTGCATGGTCTCAATCACCTCCAGATTGTCAGATCATCAACACGTTGTTAAGTATCACAAGCAAAGGGCATGATGTAATCGCCTAATCATCGACACGGTCCTCTATGCTAAGTTACACGAACACAAGCCTCTATTCTTCGGAGTGATACTTACCAAAACTTATAATTTTCTCCAACAAGTTTGTTTTTTCGTCGGATGTAAAAAGTCAGGAAGGGAGTGCATTTCACCTGTGTCTGTGTGCCAACTGCCACGGGATTCCTGGCACAGTGCAACCGTCCCCGTTTCCATGATCGTGCCCGCGCCCCGAAGTCGACCTGCTCTGCTCCCTCCGTATCACCCGGACGGCAACCGCCAACATACTAGTACAGCAATCAAAGCGCCTGTCAAACAACGTCCCGTCCTTCCTTGCTTTACTGTAGGCACTAGCCGACCAACAGGAGGAGCTTTTGATTTCTGGATAATAAAGAGTCTGCAGCCTTGCAACTCTTGCTCCTGCCATTGATCGGAACTCCCGTGCTTTCCACGCTACAAACTTACAAAGGCTGCCACGGTGCTGCCCCTAGCTCTGCATCCACAGCAGCGCCGCGCGGTTCATTCCAGTTCACCGCTTGCCTCGCTTTCCAACCCTCCCACAAAACCCTGACCCCCATCGCAGCTCACCGTCACCAAATGGCATCCGCGCGGTCCATTCCCCGAGCCGCCCGTTGCCTGATCCTCTTCGCTCCCATAGTCCCCGTCGCCGCGGTCACCGTTCACCAGTCCAACGCCAGAGCACGCGCGCGCGCAAGCCACCAGATCGAGCGAGCCGACATGGCATCCGCGTCGCCGTCGTGGGCCATCCTCGGCAGCGTGCCGCGGGTGGCGGCCGCCGACGCCGACCTCCCTCCGGGCGCCGACCTCTCCCTCGCGCTGCCGGCGCCGCCGCGCGTCGGGCTCCTCACCATCCCCCCGCGCATCTTCGCGGACCGCACCACCTCCGACAACTTCCCCTCCGTCCTCGCCGTCGACCCCTCCGGCCTCCTCCTCCTCCACGCCAACCAGGGCCGCGCCACGGCCCCCACCGTCATCAACACCCCCAGCCTCCGGGAGTTCAGCTGGCGCCCGTTCGCCCCGGGCTACTTCGTCCTCGACGCCACCACCGCCACCGCCCTGCCGCTCCCGAAACCTGAGCTCATCATGCACATGGGTCACGTCGGCCTCATCTCCTCCCCGGCGGGTGGCGGCCACTACATGGTCGCCGAGCTCCAGCCGTTCGTTGGCGGTGACAAGGCCATCCTCCTGCGCTTCTCGTCGGAAGTCGGAGAGTGGGTCAGCAAGTACATCGGCTACCCGCTTCCTGCCAGGATTCTGTGCCCCAACCGCGTGGTCTCGCACTCCGGGAGGCTCTGGTGGGTCGACCTCTCCTGGTGCCTCCTCACCTGCGACCCCTTCGAGGACACGCCGGTGCTGAGGGTCGTCCCGCTCCCGGAGGGCAAGGCGCTCAAGCCCAGGGAAGCTTGGGGATTGCTTGACAAGTACCGATGCGTACGTGTCAGCGGCGGCAAGCTGCGGTTCGTGGACATGTACTCCAGGAATCGTGACAGCCGCGGCGCTACACAGATCAGCGTCTGGACGCTCGCCGATCCGGACACCACGGAGTGGACGCTGGAGTACGAGGCCACCTTTAAGGAGATCTGGGACGACGCGAGCTACAAGGCGACTGGTCTGCCCAGGAAGATCCCCGTGCTTGCGCTCATCCACCCCACCAACCCCGACGTGGTCTACTTTTTCCTCGACGAGCATCTGCTCGGTGTCAACGTGCGTGCTCGCAAGGTTGTGGAGTGTGAGGTCTACGAGCTGGTTGCGCCGCCTAGCGAGCACGTCGCCACCCGTTTCATTCACGCTTGGCAGCTGCCACCAGCTCTCTGCTCAGGTAAGTCTACTGTCTTTTTTCGTTGATTGTAGATTCTTTATACTTATCTAGTGATTGGAAATGGTGTGCTTATGTGTAACATTGGAGGGATCAGATATGTTATCTCTATGATGTATTGATGTGTGATATCCTTTGTCTAACATCTCAGTTGTGGGAGAGAGCATATGCAAATGTTCAACTTTCAGGCTATGTATGTACGCTTAGCTTGTTATTAGTAATGCTGCAGGGAGGGCTTATGTTTAATAAGTGTAAGAGGCTTCTTAAAATTGGGGCTTACAGAGTAAAGCACTTCTATTTCAATGTCGAAATGGTCTTGTGTGGATGAGATGTACTATGACTTACCATTTACTGAAGCACGGCTAATGCTAAATAAAATTTGCTAAAGCAATAGTGATAAAAATTCTGCCAATTTGGCCCTAGCGTATGTCCAAGAGTTCAATATACTCCCCTTTTATTCATTTTGATGACAAGTATTTCCGGACGGAGGGAGTACATTTTAGGCTTCACTATCTTAGGCACTGGATAGGTCCATATGCTTGCTCGGGGTTTTCATTTAAGTAACAAGATCGTTAAAATTTCCGAAGAAACTCTCTGTTATTACTTCACTGTATACATGCACATTTCTGATAGAAATTGTCTCCATGATCCCATGCGAAAGTGTTTGGTTTTTGAACATAGCATCCTGTTACTTGTATGTAGTGCTTGGAATTATAATGACACTGCTAGTTTTTTGTTTGCAAGACTTGCAATGGGCTGAGAAAAGTATACATATATGGCAAATCAGCTGTTAGATTTCAGTACTGCATTTCTTCTCAGAAAGAAAGTACTATTCCCTCCGATCCATATTAATTTTTTTTTAGAAAAGGGGGTATTCCCCGGCCTCTGCATCAGATCGATGCATACGGCCTCTCTTATTAACCAAATAAAGAGGTTCTGAACAAAGGTCTTACAAACAAAGGAATAAAGGCAGCCTATAGCTCACATAGAGCATCGACTGTACGGTAGAAATGAGATAAGCCACAAACCGGCTGGCATAATAGCAGGTAGGTAAACTAGATGCCTATCCTATTACATGATCGCCATCCAAACCGGTTGAAGATATCCCGCGCTACCGTCTCCCACCGGACAGATCCAGTAACCAAACGCTCCCTGGCCTCCGTCGGAGTGAGTAAGGACCAAGTACGGATCAGCGCCGTAGCCCGGAACAACACCTGCAAAAAATGAGTATTTGTTGTCCTGTTAAAAACCAAATCATTCCTGCAATTTCAAATTGCCCATAATAACGCACATACTCCTACACGAATGTGTCTGGCTGTTTCGGGCTCCATCCCAAGCAGCCACGCCCCAAATAACGTGTTTACCGATCTCGGTGGAGTAATATTAAAGGCAATTTGCACGGTGCGCCACAACCCTTGTGCCAACGGGCAATCAAAAAGTAAATGCTTGATAGTCTCATCCCGATCACAGAAACTACACCTAGTCGATCCTGTCCAGTTGCGCTTAACTAGATTGTCCTTTGTAAGAATAACTTGTTTATGCACAAACCACATAAACACTTTAATCTTCAAAGGAACCTTAACGTTCCAGACCTCCTTGGACGAAGGTATCACGGATGAATTAATAATATCAATATACATCGACTTGACCGTGAACACCCCGGTTTTAGTTAGTTTCCAATACAACTGGTCGGGCTGAGGATTTAGCTGCACGTCCATCAGCCTACGGACCAAGTGAAGCCATGCTTCCCATCTAGGTCCAACAAGAACTCTCCTAAACTGTATGTTGAGAGGAATAGACTGCATTACTGTGGCAACAAGAGCATCCCTACGCTGAACAATACGATATAGTGTTCGATATTGTGAAGCCAAAGGCGCGTCACCCAGCCACGTATCCTCCCAGAATCGCGTATCATCTCCATTACCAACAATACATTTCGTTCTGTTGAAGAAAGCGGCTTTAACCCTCATGAGCCCTTTCCAGAACGGCGAATCTGTAGGTCTCAGAGTGACTTGGGATAAAGTCTTTGAGTATAGATATTTACTACGTAAAATCTGCGCCCAAGTTGCCTCTGTCTCAGAAGACAACTTAAACAGCCACTTACTCAGGAGGCATTTATTTTTGACTTCAAGATTTTCAATACCAAGTCCTCCTTGGTCCTTTGGTCTGCAGATAATATCCCATTTGGCCAATCTGTACTTCCTCTTAGACTCATCACTCTGCCAGAAGAAGCGAGAACGATAAAAGTCTAGTCTTTTCCTCACCCCAACTGGTACTTCGAAGAAAGATAACAGAAACATAGGTAAACTCGTGAGCACCGAGTTAATCAGAATCAACCGGCCTCCATAAGACATGAGTTTTCCTTTCCAACAGCTTAGTTTCTTCTCAAATCTATCCTCGATGCACTTCCACTCAGCATTCGTTAACTTACGATGGTGTATTGGAATACCGAGATAAGTGAAAGGAAGAGACCCAATCTCACACCCGAACAATTGTGTATAAGCTTCCTGTTCGTCTTTGGCTCTACCAAAACAGAACAACTCGCTTTTATGGAAATTAATCTTCAGCCCAGACAATTGTTCGAAAAGGCATAATACTAGCTTCATGTTCCTCGCTTTGGCCAAATCATGTTCCATAAAAATGATTGTATCATCAGCGTATTGCAGGATGGACAAACCACCATCAACCAGATGAGGCACCACTCCCTCCACCTGACCGGCCTCTTTGGCCCTCCCAATCAGGATCGCTAACATATCAACCACAATATTGAACAGAATAGGCGACATAGGATCGCCCTGTCTTAGACCCTTGTGCGTTGGGAAATAGTGGCCTATGTCATCATTAACTTTAATGCCAACACTGCCTTTTTGCGTGTACGTTTCCACTTGATGTCTCCAGCGCTCATCAAATCCCTTCATTCGTAAAGCTTGCTGGAGGAACGGCCATTTGACTTTATCATAGGCCTTCTTGAAATCCACTTTGAAAATAACCCCATCTAGTTTTTTCGTATGAATTTCATGAAGCGTTTCATGTAGGACCACAACCCCTTCGAGGATGTTCCTATCCGGCATGAAAGCCGTTTGAGAAGGTTGAACTACAGCGTGCGCTATCTGAGTAAGCCTGATCGTGCCAACCTTGGTAAATATTTTGAAACTGACGTTGAGTAGGCAGATAGGCCGAAATTGTTCAATTCTCACGGCATCTGTTTTCTTAGGCAACAACGTTATCGTTCCAAAATTAAGTTGGAACAGCTGCAAGTGTCCCGAGAACAAATCATGGAACATCGGCATCAGGTCCCCTTTGATAATATGCCAACACTTCTTGTAAAACTCAGCTAGGAAACCATCCGGCCCCGGTTCCTTATTGCATTTCATCTTGGCAATAGCCTCGAGAACTTCCTTTTCCGAGAAAGGGGCAGTTAACACATCATTCTCCACAGAAGAAAGTTGAGGGATATCGCTAACCCTAGACTCATCCAGGGATACACAGCTCTCCTCTGGTGGTCCAAACAACCTTTTGTAATATTCAGTAATGTATGTTTTCAGGTTGTCCTGGCCGACTATTGTACCCTCATCTTGCTCCAGCTAGAAGATCCTCTTTTTCCTGTGCTTGCCATTGGCAATCATGTGGAAGAACTGAGTGTTCGCATCCCCCTGGACAACTTTTCTCACCTTTGCCCGCAATGCCCACTTTAATTCTTCCTCACGGAGCAATTCCTTCAGCCTCATCTCAGCCTCATGCTTAATATGAAGCTCAGTGGGTAACAGTACCATAGTTTCTGCTTTTATATCTAAGGTTTGTATAAGTGAAAGGAGTCGTTCCTTCTCGACCTTATACACTCCACCTAGATGTTTAGCCCACCCACGAAGGAAGCTTCTGAGATGCCTAATCTTGTTCTGCCACCGCTCAATGGCACTTCTACCTCCTACATCTTTAGCCCATTCTCTGGCAACAAGATCCAAAAATCCTTCTCTTTCAAACCACGCCAGCTCGAAAGAGAAAACATTTTTGTTACCCGAGTAGGTAGCCCCACCAGAATCGAGCAACAAAGGAGTGTGATCAGAGATCCCGCGAGAAAGTGCCTGAACAGTTACCACGGGAAACTTCTGTTCCCAAGCAACACTAGCCAGAACCCGATCCAACTTCTCGTAAGTTGGATTTGGCATCGCATTAGCCCAGGTGAACTTCCTACCTGAAAGCTCAATTTCTCTCAAATCTAAGCTTTCAATAATGGTATTGAACATAAATGACCATCTCCCATCGAAATTGTCATTATTCTTGTCATCGCGTCTTCTAATTATGTTGAAATCACCCCCAACCAGAATTGGTAGCTGCTCAGACCCACAGACTCTAACAAGGTCTGCCAGGAAATCTGGTTTGAACTCGGCCTGCGCTGCCCCGTACACCGCCACCAAAGCCCAGTCAAAACCATCCTGTTTGGACCGCACCCTGAACTTAACAGCAAAATCCCCCATGACCACACTGCGAACTTCGAGAGAGTCACATCTAACACCAAGTAAGATTCCCCCCGACCCGCCTCTCGGCGGCAGACAATGCCAGTCAAACTCAATCCCCCCCCGACAAGGTATTGAGAAATTGAGGTGAGAAATTTGCTCTACCCGTTTCCGACAGGGCAATAAAGTCCAAACTATGCTCAATAGATGCCTCCGCAAGGAACCTCCTTTTAGCCAAGTCCTTAAGACCTCTGCTATTCCAAAAGATTCCTCTCATATGTCATCATGAAATTTTTTAGCCGTGCGAATCCTAGCACTCCTACGGACTGCGGACATCGGGTAAGTTTTGCGCTTCCACTTGCGCTTAGGGCTGGTCGGGCCCTCCCGGTCCAAAGTGCCCGTAACCGATGGATTATCTACTTCCATCCCGATATTCTCGTCCTCCTCCTCCGGCTCCTGGAGGTGCGGTGCTAGATCATCACAAAAATTATCAAGTACTCGAACTCCCAAGGCATCAATCTCAGAGTCACTCATAGGTTTGACCGCAGCTAAGTTACGAATTACTTCTAAAGCCC